TTATTTTTGCCCTCCATCAAGCAGGTCTTGTTGAAATGGTTTACGCATTGGAGACGCGACCATACAATCAGGTAACACATGCAGCGGACAGCTGCACTTGTCATCAGCAGTACATCCTTTATTCTGATATCTCATTAAAGTGCATTATGACTCTACCGTACAAACGTGATAGTATGAGCAAGAAGAGTAATGTAGAGCTAGAAATTTGGAACCTATTACATCGAGCAATGTTTTAGGGCATGCGTCTTACTTCCACCGAACTTCGCCATGCTAATGTGCCTTTCAAAATAATCACTGACAACATGGCAGCCTGGACTATGAAAACGCATAAGATTGACGCTATACTTACTGGCAAAGTTTTTTCTTAATTCTTTTTAAATCTCATTGAGTTTCACTCATTGCAGGGGCTGATCAGGTGGCCCTCAATGGAGACACAGCAAACAAAATTGGTACTTACATGCTGGCTGTGCTCGCCAAACATCACAATGTACCGTTTTATCCTGTCGTAAGTGTCTTTCACTTTCTTAATTCTGAATTACTTATCCAGAACAGCGTGGTGCTCCCGAAAGCACGTGCTGCTCTCTCGCTGACATATTACAGCAACTGAGATCATCAGCTGACGAAAAAAAATTGCGAACTAAGAAGTGAAGGGCAAACTTGAAAATATAAGGTCATCTGGATATTAAGGTTCCGACAACCACAATAAATCGTAAAAGAGAATCTGGCGACAGTATACCCATTGAGGAGAGACCAGCAGTAGAAATGTTGTCTGTAAATGGTATCTATCGTCTAGATTAATGCTATACTTAATAGATCCGACTGACCCAGCATTTCAGGAGTTTTTGTTGGCGCTGAAGGTACACCAGTATGGAATCCAGCTTTTGATGTAACACCAGCGGAACTGATTACGAAGATTATCACAGATCGAGGCAACTTCGCACCTGAGGAGTTGAAGCGAAGTCTATGCTGAATATGCCACACAATTTAACCAATTTTGTAGTTGTGTCTTTCGTAATTTTTTAATGAATTATTCTGCATCAGAGTTAATCGCGACTATCTTCTCAAATCCCTCCTTTAACTGTATCGTGACAACTGTGTGGGGCATGAAAGTCCGATCTCATTCTTACTCTGCTCTGTTCTGAAGATGCTCTAACATTTATGAGTCCTAGATATCTGGAATCCAGTGAAGCTGTTAACTCCTCTTAAACCCTCTTAAAAGTATATGAAGATGGTAAATCGATATTCACTGTTT